CTGGCAGCCTGTCTGAGACTTCACCCCACAGTGGGCACCAGCACACTTCTTTCCTTTTTCTGGCCTCAGGCAAACGCTCTTAGGATTTCAGGATCCTATTACATGTTGAGCGAGTTGCTGCGTTCTTCTTGAATTCCTTACGAAGTCACTCTGGTCCATGGAGATTAGAAGTTTAAACTTTGAAGGCCATGCCTCATTGAGTTCTCTTCACCTTGGCTCCCCAGCCATTTCTGTCACAGCCAAACTTAATCCTCTTCAGACATATCAAGCCAACCATCGGTCAAGGGGGTCTTTATTTCTTCACACACGCTACAGAGATTAATGCTGCCTGATTTTCTCATATATTCCCTTGGCACCCTGACCAGATTCACCCACTGTCTGAGATTGATGTAAATAATGTTTACAACTTGGCCGAAACTTGTTGGCCACTTATGGGAAGAATCCATCTTATTCTAGAATCACAAACGCTCGTGCCATCTTGGCCATAACAGGATGGCCGGATAAAGCATTAGCATCCTAGAATCTCTTTGTAAATTTCCAGACCCGGGAAAATAAAGAGCATTTGCTTCAGTAGGTCCGAGTAAATCTGTCAGCATTAGGCAAAGAGGCCCATGAAGATAGCATTGGATTTAGAGTTGGCTCTCAAGTTATAGGTAGTTGTACCACCTTCTAGCTGTGTGGTCTTGTACAACTAACATAATCTCCCTGGACCCGTGTTCTCATCTGGAAGATAGAAGTTCTATCATGAGCCCTGTACATACCCCTGGATGACTGGACTAGGGATATGAGAGTGTCTTGAAAACAATGAAATGCTATTTAAGTGAGAGCTACCACCATTTTGATGTATAGCACACTGTAGGTTGTCTGATGACCATTTACTGCAAGTTTTATGACAGTCCTAAAATACATCAAGTTTTTTTTATTTGTATCTCTGAGCCGCAGTTTTCTTACTGTAAAGTGAGGTGAAATGATACTGCATAGCCCACAGACTCAGCAAGTTAGTAAGTGTGAGTGGGCCTGGAGTACACAGGATGGTGGCCTTCTTTCTCTCTTGGCACCACTCTGAAACCTGGTAGAGCAGCTGTGCATTATATAGTTTTGAATTCAAGTCTCCCACAAACACCTTTTTGGAAGCTTTCTGGTGATAGGATCAATGAACTTGGTGCTCCACTGCTGAGGGCATCTGAGAACTTAGCAAACACTGTAGTGGGGAGAACTCCTGCCTGTCTTCCTGCCCCAAGGTGTGTATCGTCTGCACGACCCCCAGTCTTGTCCTATCTAAGAGGTTCTGTGCCTTCCACTTCAAGTGGAACATTCATGAGAGAGTCTTGTCAGAGAAGCGAGACCATGGTAGGGAAGAGACTAGAAATGAAGACAAATGAGGAGTGTTACGGAAGACTGGGCAGTGAATCTGAAGAACAGAAGACATAGGGGTACATGACACAGCTGTCCTAACCTGAAGGAACTGATACTTTATGAACTTTTCAGTGGCAACCCATAGTAAGAAAGACATTTAATATCAAACCTGGTACACATTTACATAAATCTATAAACAATTGAAATACCTTGAAAAACAAAACCTGTCTCTCTCACATGCTACAATTCTATTATTTCCTATCCTACTCTTCTATTAGCCCATCCTATCCTATTCAATTGCATTGATTATGATACTGGATATAATTCCAAAATTTATTTTATAAGCCATTAATTAAAAATATTGCTATGAAAGACATGTATTATCCCAGAAGATGGAATTAGGACTTTGAGGTGAAAATTAGAGCAAATTTTAGCTCAAAACAAGGAAGAAAAAACTAACAATTAGGCCCATTTAATATAGAATGGACCTCTCAAGTTAGTAAGACTCTTGACATTGGATATTTTCAAGATTAGACCTAATTTGTATGCTGTGTCTGTAGATTAGGGACTTTCTCACTTCAAAGATTTCAAGAGCCCACAATTCACACAAAGTTAAAGAAAAAAAAAACATAATGGAAAGTTTTCAGTTCAATAAAGCTAAAAATAAAGAGGCAGGGCTGGGGGGCTGGGGTTGGGAGATTGTCTTTCCTTCGCTTCTGCCCAGTTAGAGAGAAACATTCTCTGTTACACTTCTGCTCCCTACTACTGGGTGATCGCCCTTCCTTAGAACAGTTTTTCTTGCTGTTGACAGTAGCAGCTTTTGAAGCTATTGCTGCTAAGCTGCTAGGATGTTCCTTTTTCAAATCTTTGGTTACTTTAAGCCTTCATCACAGTTTAGGTAGTTGTCTTTTGAATGATCTTACAGTGTGTGTGTCTCTGTACCCTGGGCTTAGCAATGTCAAACATAGAGTCAGTACAAATGATTGCTTATTGCATAAATGAATGCATGAGTACAGGCATGAATGAATGAAGATTCCACTAGTCTCCTTAAAAGGAGGATCGTTGAGTCACTGATGCACATCTTGATTGGGAAAGTAGTATGTTTAAGAATAAGTAAGAATGGTAACAATTGTTGAAATGTTGACCTGCACTTGATTCCTAGGCATTCTGGAAATTTTTAGAGACAAGGACTCCTTTGTGTATCTCATGAAAATTATGGCTTTTATCCTCAGAAAAACATATGCATCTTTGTACAAATTAGGTATACAATTTCAAGAGTGCAGTTATTCTCTCTCTGGCCTAATGTTAGGCTTAACAATTAGGTCTGACTCAAATGGAAATGCTTTGTAATTTTGTCTTTGCTTAAGCAAGTAGGATTTTGGAGAGAGCAGAATGCTTCATTACTATGTACCAGATACATGCTCAGTGTTCTATTTAATTAGTTCATTTACTTTACATAACAATCATGTGAAACAATGTTATATATATATATGATCTTCACATGATGTACTCTGCATATGGGTTAAATAGATAGGGTGACAATATACAGCCTTGATGTACTCCTTTCCCAGTTTTGAAGCAGTCAGGCGTCCCATGCAAGGTTCTAGCTGTTGCTTCTTGACCTGCATAGCCGTCTCTCAGGTCTCCCCGGCGCTCCCGTCTCTTTAAGAGTCTCCCAGCTCGTTGTGACCCGCGCCGGCAGAGACTTCAGTGCGGTCAGCGAGGCGGGAGTGGATGCTCCTCTGGGACTCCCTTGCTTCCTCTGTGAGCCATCGGATGTCGGCAGTCTGATCTCTGGTTCCTCTGCCTCTTTGATGCCCAGCTTGTGCATTCTGGAAGTTCTTGGTTCACATACTGTTGAAGCCTAGCCTGAAGGATTTTGACCATCACCTTGCTGGCATGTGAAATGAGTGCAACTGTGTGGTAGTTTGAACATTATTTGGCATTGCCCTTCTTTGGGATTGAAATGAAAACTGACCTTTTCCAGTCCTGTGGCCACTGTGAACAACTACAAGGCTTTTTTTGTACAGTTCTGTGTATTCCTGCCACTCTTCTTATTCTCTTCTGCTTCTGTTAGGTCCTTACCATTTTTGTCCTTTATTGTGCCCATCCTTGCATGAAATGTTCCCTTGATAGCTGCAGTTTTCTTGACGAGGTCTCTAGTCTTTCCTGTGCTATTGTTTTCCTCTACTTTTTGCACTGTTCACTGAAGAAGGCCTCTTATCTCTCCCTGCTCTTCTCTGGAACTCTGCATTCAGTTGGGCATATCTTTCCCTTTCTCCCTTGCTTTTTGCTTCTCTTCTTTCCTCAGCTGTTTGTAAAGCCTCCTCAGACAACTACTTTGCCTTCTTGCATTTGTTTTTCTTTGGGATGGTTTCGGTCACTGCCTCCTGTAGTGTTATGAGGCTCTGTCCATAGTTCTTCAGGCACTCTGTCTACCAGATCTGATCCCTTGAATCTATTCATTGCCTCTACCACATAATGATAAGGGATTTGGTTTAGGTCATACGTGAATGACCTAGTGGTTCTCCTTACTTTCTTCAGTTTAAGCCTGAATTTTGAATTAAGATTTCTGGGAGAAAAATCAACAACCTCAGATATGCAGATGAAACCACTCTAGTGGCAGAAATTGAAGAGGAACTAAAGAGCCTTTTGAAGGTAAAAGAGGAGAGTGAAAAAGCTGGCTTAAAACTCAACATTCAAAAAGATAAGATCATGGCATCCAGTCCCATCACTTCATGGCAAATAGAAGGGGAAAAAGTGGAAGCAGTGACAGATTTTATTTTCTTGGGCTCTAAAATCATTGCAGACAGTGACTGCAGCCATGAAATTAAAAGACACTTGCTCCTTGGAAGGAAAGCTATGACAAATCTAGACAGAGGATTAAAAAACAAAGACATGACTTTGCCGACAAAGGTCCACATAGTCAAAGATGTGGTTTTTCCAGTAGTCCTGTATGGATGTGAGAGTTGGACCATAAAGAAGGCTGAGCACTGAAGAATTGATGGTTTCAAATTGTGGTGCTGGAGAAGACTCTTGAGAGTCCCTCAGACTGCAAGATCAAACCAGTCAACCCTAAAGGAAATCAATACTGAATATTCATTGGATGGGCTAATACTAAAGCTGAAGTTCTAATACTTTGGCCACCTGATGCGAAGAGCCGACTCATTGGAGAAGACCTTGACTCTGGGAAAGATTGAAGGCAGGAAGAGAAAGAGACAACAGAGGATGAGATGGTTAGATAGCACCACTGACTCAATGGACCTGAATTTGAGCAAAGTCTGGGAGATAGTGAAGGACAAGGAAGCCTGGCGTGCTGCAGTCTGTGGGGTCACAAAGAGTCGGACACAACTTAGGGACTGAACGACAACACTGTGATCTTCATATATGTGCTGTAGAAAATGTATCTACACACATATACATATACTATATATATAATCTTCACATGCAGAATAATATGCATATGCACACACATATACACATGTGCAAAGAAAGTCATGTTTGTACCACCCTTTCTTTTTCCCTGTCCTTCTCTTCCCTTAAGCAATCAATAAATTGTTTCCATCCCCTTGTCCCTTTCAATCTCAGAATTTAAAACACAAAAATATCGTTCCACGCTCGTCTTTAGAGAAGTTCACTCTCACCTGGTGACGCCTCTGAAACAAGGCTGGTTACCGTGCTGGGGCAGGAACGCAGACTTTTTCTGTCTCTTTGCTGATGGCGGGGGGGGGGGCGGGCATTGAGAAACAAGACATGAGTCAGTTTCAGCCGATTCCTCTGTTCTGCTCTCAGAGTGCTGAACAACGTGAGGACACAGAGATGAACGGGACTTAGCTCTTGCCCTCAAGAAGTTCACAATGTAGTTTGAGTTCCATTATATTGTTTGTATAGTTATAATCCAATAATAAATAGCTTAATAAATAGCTCTGGACCACTGGGCCCTAACTAAGGATATATTTATTAGTATCCTTCATGAATAAATGGGGTACATCATGAGGTCTATTGAGTACTGTGCGCCGACGAGCGCTGGGGAGTGAGTCTGGTGTGCCATAGCCTGCTCAGGCCAGGGTTATGGAGGAAGTCACCCAGAACGCCGTGAGAGGGCAGACTGAAGCCCGAATGCTGAGCAGCGGCACCGCTCGCCCGGGGAGGGGAAGAGGACGGGCAGCAGGACAGTGAAAGGGAGCAACCAGAGCGGAGGCAGGAGGAGAGCAAAAGGGAAGGGGGGTAAAACCCAAGGGGGGGGCGGTTAAGAAGCAAGAGGAGGCCAGTATTCATGCCACAGGGAGAAAGTAAGAGAAGTCTAGAGGGGTTAATGGACTTGGCTCTCAAGAGTTCATGGTGATATAAGCAGGAGCAATTTCTGTGAAGTGGTGAAGTGGAAACCCATTGCTGTGGGCTGTGGAGTAAACAGGAGGTGAAGAAGGTGAGAATGGAAATATGCACCAGTGGTTCCCAAATGCTGGACCATGGACTCAGTGGCATCAGAGTCACCTGTGGGGCATTGGGAAGTGTAAATCCTTGGCCTCAATCCCACATTTCCTGATTTAGTGAGTCTAGGGTGGGTCTCAAGGATTCACAGTTCTAAAAAGCCAGGTTTGAGAACCCTTAAGAGTATTAAGTCCATGAAAGGAAAGATCTTCCCTGTCTCATTCACCATTGTACCTCCAGGAGCTAGATCAGTTTCTGCCCATAAAAGTTTCTCTGTAACTATGTAGAATAGCAGCTCCATAACTGAACTGTTGGCATCAACTACTTCCAAAGGTTATAAATTAGGCTGAACCATATGAAATGACCATTTTTTGTGGGTCACAAATAGTCAAATTGAGGCAGTTTCATGTAGTTTAATATCTTATCAGTAAAACAGATGATATAAAAATTATGATATTCATCTCATGGGAGTCAACAAAAACTTTAGAACTATAAAGGGATCCTATGGTAGCCAGTCTCCGAAATGATCTTCATGATCCTCACTTCATGATATTCATGTATGGGTGTAACGCTCTCCCCCGAGTGTGGGTTGGACTTAGAGAATAGAATGCGGCAGAAGTGGTGGTATGTCACTCTTAATTAGGTTAAAAAGAGACTGCAGCTTCTGTATTGGGTATACTCTGTCTCTCTTCCCTTGGATCACTCAGTCCAAGGGAAGCCAGCTGCCACATCATAAAGACACTCAGGCAGCCCATCCCCACCATGGGGGAATAGAGGCCTCCAGCCACCAACCACAGGAGACAGCCTGGAAGAGGATTCCAGCGCCAGTCGAGTCTTGAGATGCAGCTTTGCCAGAGTTTCCCAGTTAAGCTGCTCCATATTCCTGACCCTCTGAAACTGGATGAGAACTTAAATATTCACTGTTATAAACTGCTATGCTTAGAGATGGTTTACTCCCCAGCAATAGATAACTAATAGAAGCCTTCATTTTCAAGATGCTAGGAACTGATGGTTGAGTAGTTTTTACTTCAGCATACTTTCACATATATCCTGTAAGTTTTTCAAGACGAGTTTTAATTCCTTTTCATTATTGAGGAATTTGAGTCATATGCATTGGTGGAGAAAGTATTTTATTTGGAATCAGAAGATGCCATTTTTTAGCTGCGTAATTTTGCAGATCACTTAATTTCTCTGAGCTTGTCTTTCCTTTTAGACAAAATGCAGATTACCGCAATACCCCTTGTCTTAATGTTTATTGTAGGGATTAGATTATGAATACAGTGGATCAACTCTAAAGTGCTATTGAAATGCTAATTTTAATAGATGATAGAATTAATCACCTTTCACCAATGATAAGTCAATCAAGGTAACATAGCTAGTCTGTTGCAGAATAGGAACTTGCACCCAAGTCTCCTAATAGGAGCTAAGAACAGGGCTTAGCTATCTTCAGACAGTGTGAGCCATCTTTACCCTAGAGGCTGTGGGCTAAATCTAGCCTAATGCCTGTTTTTGGAATAGAGCATGAGCAAAGAATGGTGTTACATTTTACATTTTTAAGTAGCTGCAAAAATACCATACACACAGAGGAAACCAGAATTGGAAGAGACACATGTACCCCAATGTTCATCACCACACTGTTTACAATAGCTAGGACATGGAAGCAACCTAGATGTCCATCAGCAAATGAATGGATAAGAAAGCTGTGGTACATATACACAATGGAATATTACTCAGCTATTAAAAAGAACGCATTTGAATCAGTTCTAATGAGGTGGATAAACCGGAGCCTATTATACAGAGTGAAGTAAGTCAGAAAGAAAAACACCAATACAGTATATTAACACATATATATGGAATTTAGAAAGATGGTAACGAAGACCCTATATGCGAGACAGCAAAAGAGACACAGATGTAAAGAACAGACTTTTGGACTCTGTGGGAGAAGACAAGGGTGGGATGATTTGAGAGAGAGTAACATTGAAACATGTATATTACCATATGTGAAATAGATGACCAGTCCAAGTTTGATGCATGAAACAGGCCGGTGCACTGGGCAACCCTGAGGGATGGGCTGGGGAGAGGGATGGGAGGGGGGTTCAGGATGGGGGCCACATGTACACCCATGGCTGATTCATGTCAATGTATGGCAAAAACCACTACAATATTGTAAAGTAATTAGCCTCCAATTAAAATAAATAAATAAAATAAATAAAAATTAAAAAAAAAACAGGGAGAGTAGTAAAATTGTTACCAACCTGAAACTATTTTTAAGCAAATAAAAAAGCAAGTAGCAGGAAAAAAAGAAACAATATTTTGTGATACATGAATATTTTATAAAATTAAATTATATGCATATTTAATTATATGTAATTATATAACATTTGTAAATGTAATTATATATTATAATATGTAAATGTTATATGTGTCATATTGTAACATGTTTATTATATAATTTAAATTTAAATTTATTTATATATCTACATATATTTAGATATAAATGTTTATACATAAATATAAAATTAAATTTTTATATTCTAAAAAATTTTTGCTAGATTACACAGTCATGCTTATAAATGGACTATCATTGTCTGCACTGTTTTCATGGTACAATAGCAGAGTTGAGTAGTTGTAATAGAGACCATACGATCTGTAAGCCTAAGTTGCTGTAGGGCCCTTTACAGAAAAAAGTGTCTGACCCTGCTTTACAAGGTATAGTTCTGGTATAACGCTGTGGGGCAAGCAGGTAAGTGAGAAAAGAGGCTTTGAGAGAAAAAGTGAATCAATTAATGCCACATAGCTTTAAAAAAAAAAAAAGGAATTTATACTGGAACCCAAACTGCAAGTGACATTGTCTTAATCCCTACCCAAGTTTGTAGACTGGTTAAACAGCACACAAATAACGGACCAGGTGGTGTCAGGGAGATTAGCAAAGAGGTTATAAAGCCAAAGCAGGAGAGAACAGTTTATAAACGCAGGACTCAAGCGTCTGGGCCGCTAGAGCGAACGCTCCTGTTCTTTAAGAATATACAGGGGCAATGCGGTTAGTAACAAGCATAAAGGAAACCTTCCAATTCACCAGTGAGTAAAGAAGTACAAGAAAATTTTAATGAGATACTAAGAACTGACTCATTGGAAAAGACCCTGCTGCTGGGAGGGATTGGGGGCAGGAGGAGAAGGGGACGACAGGAGATGGCTGGATGGCATCACCGACTCCATGGACAGGAGTTTGAGTAAACTCCGGGAGTTGGTGATGGAACAGGGAGGCCTGGCGTGCTGCGATTCATGGGGTCGCAAAAAGTCGGACACAACTGAGCGACTGAAGAGACTGACTATACATTCTAAACCAGCAAAAATGTTAGATAATCATGTCTGATAGAGGTGATGTGCTAAAACTGGAATAGTTCCTTACATATTGCTTATAGTCATGTAAAGGCATTAAAGATCCCTCAACAAGAATCAATATCGCTGACTCTTGTTGATGTGTGACAGAAAACCACAAGATTCTGTAGAGCAATTATCCTTCAATTAAACATAGATTTAAAAGCAGCAGACACTATTATAGGGGGCGTACCTCATCGAACACCAGCCGTGGGGCCTGGGCGCCGCCATCTTGGGGAGCCGGGCCCAGTGGGCGCCGCCCTGTGGGGACGCGGGGCGCGCACGCGGGCGGGGCTCAGCGGGGACCCGGCCATGGGGGCGCCCGCAGTCCGGCCGCTGCCGCTGCTGCTGCTGTTGGTGGCCTGCGCCCCGGAGCCAGGCAGCACCTCGGCAGCGGCTCCGCCTCTGCCCAACGAAGAGGTGAGGCGCACGGTGGACCTGAGCGGCCACCTGGCCAAGGTGACGGCCGAGGTGGTCCTGGCGCACGCGGGCGGCGACTCCTCGCCCCGCGCTGCCTCCTTCCTGGTGGCGCTGGAGCCCGAGTTGGAGGCCCAGCTGGCACACCTCGGCCTGCAGGTGACGGGAGTGGATGAGGAAACCGACATCTGGACGTACGGGAGACCAAAATTAACGGTAAAAGCGGGAGATTCTTCACAGTCCAACTCCCAGTTGCTCTTGATCCTGGGGCCGAGGTTTCAGTCGTTGTGGAAGCCGTTTATACCCACGCGATTCAGCCGTATCCAATCCAGATCACCCAGTCTGAGAAACAGTTTGTGGTGTTTGAGGGGAATCATTATTTCTACTCTCCCTACCCGACCAAGAGGCAAACCATGCGTGTGAAGCTCGCCTCCCCACACGTGGAGAGCTATACCAAATTGGGCAACCCCATGCGCCACGAGAACCTCCTGGATTACGGCCCTTTCCAGGACACCCCTGCCTATAGTCAGGATAGTTTTAGAGTACATTCTGAGAACAACAGCCCTTTCCTGACCGTCAGCAGCATGACCCGAGTCATCGAGGTCTCCCACTGGGGTAATATTGCTGTGGAAGAACACGTGAACCTGAAGCACACGGGGGCTGTGCTGAAGGGGTCTTTTTCTCGTTATGATTATGACAGATGGACAGATAGTGGCAGCTCCTCCATCCGTCCTTTTAAGACCATCCTTCCTGCCTCTGCCCAGGATGTTTATTACCGGGATGAGATTGGCAGCATTTACACCAGACACCTGCTTATTTTGGATGACTCGGTGGAGATGGAAGTGAAGCCTCGTTTCCCTCTCTTTGGCGGGTGGAAGACTCATTACATCATCGGCTACAACCTCCCAAGCTATGAGTACCTCTATAATTTGGGAGACCAGTATATGTTGAAGATGAGGCTGGTGGACCACGTGTTTGATGAGCAAGTGATAGACTCTCTGACTGTGAAGATCATCCTCCCTGAAGGGGCCAGGAACATCCAGGTGGACAGTCCCTATGAGGTCAGCCGAGCCCCCGACGAGCGGCACTGTACCTGCCTGGACACTTGTGGCCGCTCTGTGGTCGTGGCCCGCAAGGAGAGCCTGGTGGAACAGCACATCCGGGACATCGTGGTGCACTACACCTTCAGCGAGGCGCTCATGCTCCCGGAGCCCTGCTGCTGGTGGCCGCCTTCCGCATTCTGCTCTTCACTGTCATCGTCTGTGTCAGGCTGGACTTACCCACCACAGAGGACCCAGCTGCAGAAGCCAGGATGAAGGTGGCTTGCATGATAGAGCAGGTCTTGAACCTGGTCAGCAAGAGACTAGGTCTCTACCACCACTTTGACAAGACAGTCAGTAGATACAAACAGTCCCGGGATGTGTCCACCCTCAGCAGTGGCAAGAAGAGCCTGGAGACGGAGCACAAGGCTTTAACCAGTGAGGTGGCACTGCTGCAGTCCAGGCTGAAGGCCGAGGGCTCCAAGCTGTGCGACAAAGTGAGCGAAATGCAGAAACTGGACGCGCAGGTCAAGGAGCTGGTCCTGAAGTCAGCAGTGGAGGCTGAGTGGCTGGTGACCGGCAAGCTCAAGAAAGACATGTACGTCGAGAATAAGAAGCTCATTTCAGGAAAGCGACAGGAGCTGGTCAGCAAGATTGACCACATCCTGCATACCCTGTAGCCCTCCAGAGGGCAGGGTGGGGGGTGAACATGGAGGCCAGCAGGTTATGGCTTCTATATTTGCCAAAGGTCTCCGAGGAAGAGAAACTAGGCCTTGCCTCAAGCAACACAGAAGCTTAGTTTTGTCCCTAAGATGTTCTTTTAAAAAAAAAAAAAAAAACACACACACAGACACACACCTAGATGTCATTTAAAACAAAATATCTTTGAATTTTGAACAAAGAAGTTTTTGAGTTGGCTTTGTTTGTTCTGAAGCCTAGGATATTCTTTTCACCTCAAGCCCCTTGTCTTACACCCTTCTAATTCCTGAGATTTGGGTATTTTACAAGCATGTGTATGTTTTTTAAAGCACATACGACTAAATGAAAATAAAGCCAAGGCTGTAAAAAAAAAAAAAAACTCTGTATTGAGTCTTTGAAAGCTCTTATTCTTTGATTCATTGATTCCATTTCTGAACATCTAACCTTGAAAGTAATTCTAAGTTCCTAGAAAAGGTATTCATAATAGTATTGTTTAGTGTCAATTTGAAAGTAACTAAGTGTCCCAGAAAAGCTGATTAAGTAAATTGTGGTATAACAACCTGATGGAATACTGCAGCCACTTGACCACTAAAGACTAGATAACAAGGCAGAAATAAAATTTTACAATGTGAAGTTCAAAAAGCACAATAAAACTTCTAATTTTTATATGGTTTTTGCTATGAAAAGTTATGTCTGTACTAGTACAAGGAGCAGTGAAAACAGGTGATTTCTTAAGGTGCTAGCACTCCAAATCCATTGTTGTTACAGCATTGACTAGATGGTAAAAGAACTGGAGGTCTCCCCTCCAAGAGATTAGATCTGAGTTGTCTCAGTCACCATGTTGGTTATGCTTATGCTGAGGCCTCATGCTTCTCTTCACCTCAGGCCAGGGTAGTGTCCAGAACTAGGGGCCAGGCTGAGCCCACAGGCAGGGCTGAGGAGGCCTTCCTGCCAGGGTTAGACAGCTGAAGGAAGAAGGGGCCCGCGGGTGGTCACGTCTCTGTCGGCAGATACTCATGGAGATCTCTCAGGTAGCTTGGGGGTTGCATTGTCTTAGAAAGGTTCTGGACTTAGAGTCAAAATTTTGCAACTCAAGACCTGACCCTGAGGCTTGCTCAGGCATGAGGAAATGTGGTCCAGCCCCCAGTTATAGAGGAAGGGCTCTGTGTGTCGCTCTCTGCTGGGCACCAAGAAGGCAGGCAGGAATCAAACTCAGCTTTGTCCCTCAGGCACCCCAGCAGGGAGCAGCTACAGTACCTGGTATACTGCAGGCAGGGGTATTAAACTCACTCAAAGTGCTCAGAGGAGGAGAGCCCTCTAGCACAGTTTGAACATCTCTGCTTTTTTGAGACTCTCCAGTTAGCTTAATTGACGATAATTTCTGCACTGATTGAACAATAATGTTTATTCTCTGTTCACATCTAGCTTTTCATTATGGATTTTAATTACAGCCTTATAGAACATTGTATATGGAAAGCCCTGTGAGGATACTTTACATCTTTCCAGGGTGAAAAGTCCCCATAGCTCTTCTCTCATTTATTTTCTCACACTAGATTGCATTTTCCCATCTGGAAAATCCTGTGTGAACATAGAGTAACTCTTGGGCTCACATTTTCCCTGACTTCAGTAACTTATCTTTCTACCTCCTCTACGGGTCATTGGTACCATTTTCTCTACCTCGTCTTCCCCTTAAGCCCCACTCTGAACTTGCCCAGTGAGATGGTAACAGAGTTTTTGCTCTTTAGGAGGTATTGGGACAGAGGAGATAAGTAGTGTTGTCCAAGAACACTAGGGGAAGCAGAGAGTGTGAGACTTGGAAGATGGGTAGGATTTAGGCAGGAGAATAAGGGGCTTATTTGGAGACCTCTCAGTGGCTCAGTTTGGAATTAATCCAGGAGTTGTATGATTTCCATTTTTTGGCAATATGGAGCATGGTACGAGAAATGGGATTTATCTTGGTAGATATCCCGGGAGAAAAACAGGTCATCTACGCGGATGCTGCAAGGTTCCCTCCTTGGGCCTGTGAATGGCACAGTGGCTCCTGGAAACCTCAGGACTCGGTTAACAAGTTATTAGGAAATACGAGCAACCCCAGTAAAAGTGGCAGTAAAGCTAGATGCTCCTTAAACAGAGTCCTCACATTTCTACAGCACAACCATCATCGTGATGACTATTGTCCACTGAGTGCCTATGTGAGGTGTTATTGTCTCCACTTTATAGGTGAGAGAACTGAGGCTCGAAAAGCTAAGAGACTTGCCCAGGATCATACACCTGGTAAGGGCTGTTGGTAGAATTTAAGCCCAGGCCCATCATATCTCAAAGCCTGCACTACTCTTTTGCCTCTTAGACATGTGTAAACTGGCAAGGTGGTGAGGATGGCTCGGTTTAACCACTTACCAGGTGCTTTTCTGCAGGGACTGAGAAGGAATGAGATGTGCCGTGGGAAATATTAAGAAATTATCTATGTGGCAGACCACTACCACACTAAAACTTTCAGCTGCAGTGAATCAAGGCCCAGCTTCTCCTTCTGTGAAACTAAAACAGGTCAGTGGGCCAGGTCTCTCAGGAGTAAGTTATCAAGAGAAGAGATGAGAACATTGATTCTGTGGGTGGAAGAGGAATACAGCTGCTAATAGTTGCAGAGATATTGCTAGGAGAATAGCAGTTTACATCTGGACAGTTCTTTGTAGTTCATGGAACTCCTTCCCTTTCATCATTTCATGATCATTGTATTCCAGCCCTGGTTAATGGGGTAATAGTTTCTCTTCTACAAACTTCTACAGCAAATAGAGGCTCAGTGTTAGTCACCCAGCCGTGTCTGACTCTTTGCAACCCCATGGACTGAAGCCCACCAGGCTCCTCTCTCCACAGAATTCTCCAGGCAAGAATACTGGAGTGGGTTGCCGTTTCCCTCTCCAGGGGAACTTCCTGACCCAGGGATCGAACCCGGGCTCCCGCACTGCAGACAGACACTTTCCCATGTGAGCCACCAGGGAAGCCCGTAATTTTCCGTAGGTGGCACAGCTTGTGCCATTTGCACTCAGGTTTTCAAAAGCCACCCTTCCCGCCCCACCCTCCTTTCCACTGTATCTCTGAAGTG